CCCCCCAGCCTCTCCCCCTTCCTCCTCCTCCTCCCCGGTTCCCCTCCCGCCCCCCCGCCCTCCTCTTCCTGCCCCCTCCAGGAGCCCCCCTCTCTCCTCGCCCACCTCCGCCGGGAGCGAGCGCCGCGGCTGTGCGGAAAAGCCATGGGAGGCGAGACCTCGGCACCTGTTCAGCTGAAATCAAGGGCTTACAGTATGCTGGGCAGTCTGGCTTGGTGGTAGGAGCGAGCGAAAGGAAGGAAAAGCAAGCAGGAAAAAAAAAGTGAAAGAGGATTGGAGCGACTGCCGCTGCCGGGAGAAAAAAAAAAAAAGAAAAAAAAAAAAAGAATTAAAAAAAAAAAACCCAAGGAAAATAATTGGGAAGGAAAAGGATTTTCATGGCGCAGGCTGCAGAGCTAAGCAAGAAGACTGAAGGTTGCATCTCTGCTCTTACAGTCTCTAACTGTCTAGGTCCAGATAATGAGAGATTGTGTTGAGGATGCTGCTGCTGCTCCCCTGTTCACTGTGGAAGCCATCTCCAAATTAGCCATTACATATGGAAACTGGAGACCAGAATTTTAGAAAAAGGGATTAAGGCATCTCGTTTTGGGGGGGGATTCTCTCTTTATTTGTTTGTTTTTTTCTTGGTTCTTTTCTCTCTCTCTTTTTTTTTTTTTTTTCTTTTTCTTTTTTCCTTTTTTTATATTCCAACCAGAACGTTTCTGATTTAAAAGGCAAGCCTCTTCCCGTGTGGTCTTTCTAATTTACACTCTTTTCCGTGGGTTTTCTTACCTCCCTTTTTTGATACCTATCTCTCTATATACATCCGTTATATTATTAGTCGGAATTACTATTCTTTTATTTTATTAAACACACACACCCCAAGAATCAGAAGGCGGTTGGGTATTTGTATAATGAAGAATTATGGGGCTCTTTGACAGAGGTGTTCAGATGCTTTTAACCACCGTTGGTGCTTTCGCTGCCTTCAGCCTGATGACCATAGCTGTGGGGACCGACTACTGGCTTTACTCCAGAGGGGTTTGCAAGACTAAAACTGTCAGTGAGAACGAAACCAGCAAAAAGAACGAGGAAGTCATGACCCATTCTGGATTATGGAGAACCTGCTGCCTGGAAGGTATTTCATTCCGGATCTCCACACTCTCCTCACCCCCCCACACCCCCCTTTCCTTTCCTCTCCCACCACCCCATGTTTCTCCCTTTCTCCGAATAAATCCCTCCACATTCCACCATTTTCTCACTTCATTCCTTTCACCACAGACCAAGAGCGGTGAGCTCAGTTACTCAGGGCACAGAAGCAAGAAGACAGGCAAAACATTCTCTACTCCGCTCCCTTTTCCCTTCCTCTTCCCTACCCTCCTCTCCTACACCCTTCCCAAAAATTCACTTTCCCCCTCCAACTGAAATATTAGTGTGTGTGTGTTACAAAAACACAGAGAGAACCTTTCAAAAAGCAACTGTGCATTCTGCCTGCCTTCAGCTTGTTTGTATTGCCTGGGAAAGCCATGCCAAAATGCTGTATTATTGCTGTGCGCCGGCTGTAACCACTGAGTGAAGTAATTGCTCTCTTTGCAAATGGCTTATTTGCAAAGACAAGACTGGGAGTGAGGGACAATGTGGGGAGGGGGTGACTGCAAAGCATTTTGGATGCAATTATGAGTTCACTTTAGGAGGGAAAAAGAGAGAAGAGGAAGCAGCCTTGTTATGTCCAAAATGCCTCGTATGGTGAATCTAATGATTCTAGTCATCTCAAGTAGAGTTCTGAGCATTTCGTAATGTCTGTAAGCAACCACATCTCGCTGGGCTGGGTGCAGAGGGGTCTAGTTGGTGGCTGATTAGTTTGGGGCTGGGATTCTTCCCCCCATTTGTTTGTGGCTGAGGGATGGGATTTTGTTTGGGGTGATTTTATTTATTTATTTTTTTTTTCTTTAAGGTTTACGGTAAAGGCTAAATATAAACAAGTCTCTGAATGGAAAAAAAAATAAAAATCAGCCTAAGTCTGACGTGGTGAAACTGAACAGTAACTCAGTGACATGTCTGATAGCAGAAGAGACACCACCGCAGCCAACTTCTGGAATCAGACGTTCCTAAGGGAGGGGGAAGGAGAAGAGGGGCCAGTGATTCGCTTTTCAATATGTGCTGCTCAGTACTGCTATTGGCGTGCGTGCGGGCTGGGGAGGTGGTCTTCAGCCTGCGCCGGAGGGATGGGGGCGACCGCTGCAAATGCGTGGCTTCTGTTACACATGTAGCAAGGAGGAGAGGGCGAGAGCGCACGAGCACACATTGCAGCCCATTGTAAAAGCCCTGCTTATGAATCAGCTCCCAGCTGGAGGGTGGGCTGCCAGGGGTTTGTGGACATCCAGGGATAACGTCTGTGTCTGTCAGTGTCCACCAGAGCTGGGTGTGCCTGGAGCTCCCCAATGGGAAAGAACAGGGAGTGGGTACCGCAGAACTGGTTTTCTAAGATCAGCACTGGGAGATGGAAGGCAAGGGGGAGGGGGGAATAAACTATGTATGTCCTAATGTCTCTCACCAAAGCAAGCTAAAGCTGCTGTTTGGAAATGGTTGTGTCCGGGAAGAAGCGCGAATTTCCCCCCCGTTCTTGGTGCAAACGGTTGAGTGATGGCTGGACATGTTTTGAATAGCTAAGTGACTTCATTGAGCGATGGTCTATTTGACGCATACTGCATTTAGTGCCCTTTGTCAACCCAAACTGCTGCCTTTTAACATATCCTGCAGAGGAGCTCTATGCTGAATACTATATGCTGTCTCCACGCCAGAAAATCAATAGCAGTAAATTAATGGGGGATGTTTTAAACACACTTGCTCACGCACACACACACATCTTCTCCAAATAGATAAATATATAGAGATATAGCTTAATAAAAAATGAAAAGCCTTTCACACAGCTATTCATTACAACCGGGGAAGGAGACATCTCCTTAATTAAAAATTAATGAGAGAGGGAAGAGGGGAAGAAAAAAAAAAAAAAAAAAGAGTCCAAATGCAAACCCGTGCAGGGGAGGGAGGCTGCAGGAAGAATTCCCTTCCTGAGCCGTGTCCCCAAGCTGGAGGGCGGAGGGAGGCTGGGGTGGAGACAGGAGGTATGAGGACCCCGGCCGGCAGAGGCAGTGAATTCAGATCATGTCTATCTGCCCACAGAGCTGTACCCAGAGGGACGCGGTCTGAGGGGGAGGAGGAAGGGGCGGGTGAGGTTTGTCAGATCGGAGGAGCTCGGGGCTCCTTCTCCTTTACATCTGACAGGACCCCACAGGCACTGTGGAGAAATGGCTGGCAAGGCAAAGGGGAGAGGCAGGATGCTTCCAATTAAAAGCTCCCGAGTGCCCTCAGCCCCCAGCCCAGTCCCCCACCCCTCTCTGCCAATGCGCTCAAACTGCAGCTCTGCACGAGGATTGTGAAATGCATCCTGAGAACAAGCCGTACAGCCCTGGCAGGGTGCTCTAGCTTGCCCCAGCTGTGTGAAGGTTGGGCTGGCCTGTTCCCCCAGCCTGGCAGGATGCTTCCAATTAAAAGCTCCCGAGTGCCCTCAGCCCCCAGCCCAGTCCCCCACCCCTCTCTGCCAATGCGCTCAAACTGCAGCTCTGCACGAGGATTGTGAAATGCATCCTGAGAACAAGCCGTACAGCCCTGGCAGGGTGCTCTAGCTTGCCCCAGCTGTGTGAAGGTTGGGCTGGCCTGTTCCCCCAGCCCCTGGACGCTTGGCGCAAGTGGTAAGCAGGGCAGGAGGGTGCAACGCACCGTGCAGGAGCTGAGACGAGGTCTGAGTCCGTGAGCCTGAGGGCACAGGTTGCTCCAAAACTTGAATAAGGACCAGGTAGCAAGAACATCTTATCAGGAGGCAAAACCAGCCCTGTGGCCACATGTCGAGCAGGGCCTGAACACAGGTTTGCCTGATGGGCCAGCATGGCACAGGCCTGGCACTGCCACGGCCAGGATGCCTCTGCTTGTCTTCCTGCTGCCCCACAACCTGCATGGGCTGGTGACTGGCACTCTCTTACTCCCAGGACAGCACAGCCAAATATCCCCACCAGCCCTCAGATGGCAGGCCTCTTGCTGTCACGTCTGATCTACTTGCAGGGAGGGTTATCTTCTTTCTCGGCAGAAGGAATCAGAAAGATGTCCCTGGTTGACTTGTTGTCCCTGGTAAAACTGCCTGCTGGCAAATGGGAGGGAGAAGGGTGCAGCAAAGCTTCCTTTTCCTCATGATGCAGAGAGTGGGCAGATTTGTGGAAGGAAGGCCTTTGGTCCCAGGAGGCTGTAAAAAGGGCAAAAGCCTTGGACTCTGCTCACACCTTGCCTATTCTATGGCAAAGGCACCTGAGAAAGAGTGAGGGACACACATCGCTTCTGCTCCCTGGGGTGGGTGGCAGGGCAGGTCTATAGGGTGAGGGGAGGCAGTGAACAGGAGAGTACAAGGATTTTTAACATGCAAATAGCCAAAGAAGGAGCTCAAAACTGCCTCCTGCTACTGGCAGGAAGCCTCTGCTGAGGTTGTCTTTATTCTGGGGGATGTAAGGTCCACTGGCATTAGTCAACATTGTAGGCTGTCAGAAATGGTGGTCTCCTCGTGTTCAAAATATTGTGCTAAATTGTCTTTTCTCTTCTTGGCCAAGATATCCAATAGCAAAAATTGATATGGGGACAGAGTTTCAGGTTGTAAACACAGATACACTGCTGTCAGACTTGGAAGTTCCTCTTGAAGAATTTGGTCCCCAGGATTTCAGTTTTTGGGTTCCTCTCTCATTTTCTCCCCCACAGTGGACTTTCAGTCAGTATTTTCAGATCTTTGTATTTCTCTAAAGAGGAGTTTCATTTGGGATGTGCCTTCACTTTCCCCCTTTCCTTACATCCCTGGAGTGAGCCCCTGTTCCACTGTCGGGCTAAAGGAGAAGAGTGGTGTCAATTCACATTACTGCAGATCACACTTCCGATTTTTTTCCTAATCTTCCTCGTGACAATCCCTCCCCAGACTTTGGGATTGCCCAAATATGTCCCGAGGCAATTAAAAAATCTTTGTCCTTTAAGAAAAAGGGTCTTTCTCAGCCCTTTAGCTGCATAGGCACCAAACACACACGTACACCAAGCATGAGATCTGCAAGCGCATGCCACACATGGATACTGCACCTCTTGCAACTTTGAAATGGCTGCGGATCTTCCAGCCTAATTCCTTCTTGGCACTGAATTCTTTAAAACCACTTTTTATTATGAGTGATGCCTTGTCTAATTCTTTCATTAGCTCCTGTAGATCTCCTGCAGGATCTCAAAAACTGAGCGACGATGCCTTATCAGGGTCTTATGAAGCAAGCAAATGAAATGTATTTTATATCTGCAGGTTATTGGTTTTGTCATGTTGTCATTATTATTAGGAAAGGAATAGGTCTGGGAGGCTTTTATACTGAGAAGGAGGGAGAGAGGAGTCCAGGGCAGGCAGGCATGAGTGATGTGCATGGGGTTAGACATCCCTGTAGATCTGACTGGTGTGAAGGCAAGTAATTGAATGGATGTTGGTGCAGAAAGTAATTCCTGCCTAGAGACCCTTCCCAAGGAAAATTAATGAGCTGATCTGTTCTCTTCCCAGCTTGTTATATCTGAACAGCACATGAGAGTTAAGTGCAGTTTCAGTGTTTGCAAAAATGAAGAGCTGACAGCAAAGTGAGGCAGGGCGCAGGCAGTGGACAAGCTTCTGCCAGACAATTCTGGCGCTGCGTTGCTTCCTCACACTGCCTTCTCTCACTGCCATTTGCTCCTGAGCCACAGCTTTCCTTTCACACCCATCGTATGAGTGCTTTTTCTTTATCTTCCCTCTTAGCTTTCCCAGTTTCTTTTCTTTTACCCTTCGTTTCTGTCAGCATCCCTGGTTTTGTGCTGCAGAAATGCCTGACGTCCTACTTCCTAGGATCCACAAATGTACTTGGGTCCTTTCGTCTGGCTCTTGCTGTCCTAACCCAGGGACTTTTCTGCACACACAGTGAAAAGAGGAGTAGGATCAAGTAATGGTCTCCATGTCTTCACAGTTCAGGACCAGCCTAGCACAGCCTTGAGGTGCAGCAGGAGGCAATGTCCCGGCACATGGCTGATTGCTGCTGGCATTGCAAC